CTTGATCTTGGGGTGGTGAGTTCGAGCCCCATATTGGGTGTAGAGATTACTTAATAAAATCCCTACACATGCATATATGGAATATTATTCAGCCTTTAAAAGGAATGATATTCTGACACACACTACAACATAGATGAACCTGGAGAGCATTATGCTAAATGAAATAAGCCAGTCACAAAAGGACAAATATTGTATGATTCCATTTACATGAAGTACCTAGAGTAATCAAAACCATAGGGAGTGAAAGTAGGATCATGGTTAGTAGAAATGGGAGTTATTGTTTAATGGGTAGAGTTTCTGTTGGGGATGATGCGGAAGTTCTGGAGATGGATAGTAGTGATGGTTGCACAACCATGTGAATGTATTTAATGCCATTGAACAGAATCCTTAAAAATGGCTAAAATGGGGGCACCTGGGTGGCTCAGGCGGTTAAGCATCCAAGTCTTGATTTCAGCTCAGGTCATGATCTCAGGGTCGTGAGATCGAGCCCTTTGTTGGGTTCCACACTCAGCACAGAGTCTGCTTAAGATTCTCTCCCTCTCCCTCTGCCCCTCCCCACCCCGGCTCGCACTGTCTCTCTCTCAAAAAAAAAAAAAAAAAAGCTAAAATGGTAAAGTGGGGCGCCTGGGTGGCTCAGATGGTTAAGCGTCTGCCTTCGGCTCAGGTCATGATCCCAGGGTCCTGGGATCGAGTCCCACATCGGGCTCCCTGCTACTTGGGAGCCTGCTTCTCCCTCTGCCTCTGCCTCTCTCTCTCTCTCTGACTCTCATGAATAAATAAATAAAACATTTAAAAAATAAAATAAAATGGTAAAGTGTACATATTGTGAAACGTTATGTGTGTGCATGTACATATGTCTAGGTATGCATGTGTGGAGAGGAATAAAATAAGTATAGGGCGCCTGGGTGGCTCAGTCAGTTAAGTGTCTGCCTTCAGCTCAGGTCATGATCCCAGGGTCTCCTTGCTCAGTGGGGAGTCTGCTCCTCCCTCTCCCTCTGCCCTCCCCTGGTTTGTGCTCTCTCTCTCAGGCTCACTCTCTCTCAAATAAATAAATAAAATCTTTAAATAAATAAATAAATAAATAAATAAATAAATAAAATAAGTATATAACCTGTCACTACCACCCGGGTCAAGAAGCCCACACCACACTCTCTGTGCTCATAGTCATGTTGGTGGAAAGGGTCTGGTGGAGAAAGTCAGAATGGGGGAGGCAGAATCTCTCTCCCTCCTTAACTTCCATAACCATCTAGGCATTTTACTATTTGATTTTTTTTTAAGATTTTATTTATTTATTTGTGAGGGAGAGAGAGACAGAGAACATGGGGGGAGGACAGAGGGAGAAGCAGGCTCCCCGCTGAGCAGGGAACCTGCCCACAGGGCTCAATCCCAGGACCCTGAGATCATGACCTGAGCTGAAGGCAGTCGCTTAACCAACTGAACCTCCCAGGCGCCCTAGACATTTTACTATTTGATTTCTACTTCTAGATGTTCTCCAAGTACCGGGGCTGAGTCAGCTGACTTTTTTTTTCTTCCCCAGTCACCATTACCAGAAGAAGAAACCATTTTGACACCTAGCCTCACTGACTTGCACATCTAACAGGTTTTATTTCCTGTCTCCCGCCCATACAGGGTGCTGGATCTTGAACTATATGTCATTTTCAGTGCACAGACGTCTGCCTGTGACTCCCCAAGTGACAACGTGCCCCAGCAGCACTCGGCAGTGCCTTTGTTTTCTTGCTCTACCTGCCAGCACCGGGTTTATGACTCAAGAGAGGTTCCTGAAAAGTGATGTGTAAATGGAATATGGGGTAAGATAAATTATAACTTATAGGTTTTCTGAAGGAATTACAGAAAGAAATGCTCTTGGAAAGTGAATAAACCCTCCTCTATTTCAGTGCTTCTTGATCTTTTTAGTCCTCAACCCACAGTAAGAGATACATTTTACATCACCTGAGTACATCCATGCATGGACAAAACTGACCCAAAGAGGGTACAAAACGGTACTTAGCCTTACCGCATGAGATACATTCTGATATTCTGTCCTAGTTTCTTCTGTAAAAATGCCGGTTGCAGGCCACCTGGCTGGCTCAGTCGGCAGAGCACAATGACTCTCAGTCTCGGGGTCGTGAATTAAAGACCCATGTTGGGCATGGAGCCTTCTTTAAAAAAAAAAAAAAATGCTTGTTGCCACCCACAAAAAAATGGATTTCATGACTCACTAATAGGTCTCAACCCACGGTTTGAAAACACTATACCAATTTAAATATTTAAATATTTAAATGTTTTAAATATTTTATCAATCTGATGTTTCCGTTTTGCACATGGTATACTGCCTACACCTTACATTCTACATTCTGGAGAAAATCTAATCCCTAAGATATGACAAGCGGTGACTCTTCCAGACTCTGTGAGGGAAAAACTTAAGTAATTATGCTTTTACTGCCAGTAGGAGACTGATTAATTCTAGGTTTTCTCAGACCTAGAAATCAACCTTTGTTCTGTGGTAGATTTTTTGAGGAAGGAAAACAAATGTTTTTCAGCTCTTTCTTCCCATGCAAGTTCAGAGTTGTTTTGGTTTTGTTTTTGTTTTTGTTTTTTAATCTTCTCTTTGGGTCGCCTCCTTTCTCTCCGTGGCTCCTCAGAAAGAGTTATTCAAGTCCACAAAACAGCCAAATGACTCAAGACCTAGATCTGTATTCTCCTTGACCTTGCCCCCCACTCAGCTAGCCGCCCCCCACCCCAGCCAAACGAGAGACCCCAGGAAAAACCAGGGGGCAAGGACTGCAAAAGAGAAGGTGAGTAGAAGGAAGGAACAGGGTGGCTGAATAGTTAAGGGCTAGTCCTTGTCGTCTGGCTCTGCTAGGTGCCGAATGTCGGGAGGGCAAGCTGACTGTGTGGGGAGCACTGGCCAGCGCCTCGCCCTGCGCTTTGTACCCAACGGCAGCTGAGGCCGGGGCGGTGGGAGGGCTCGCGCTTTCCTTTCACTTTCCCAGGTCGCCAAGCCCGACACCTGGGGACCGAACACCAGCTCCCACCACTCCGGCCAGGCCCGGCGGGAGGAAGAAAGGCGCGGAGGGCCAGGAAGGAAAACCGGGAGAATAAAATAAACATTACCTGCCAGCAGAGGTGAGAGAGCGAGCCAGGTACGCAACAGGTGAACCAGGAAGGTGAAGGCTACAGGATGCGGGATGGAGGGCATCGGGCACCGGCGGGTGGGCACTGCTCATTTCTCCTTGCAGGGGGCGCTGGCTAAGGTAAAGAGGGCTTTTGTGGAAACAAACCTGGAGGACTTGCTTGGGGCAGGGGGGAAGGTGGAAGTAAGGTCCCTCCCTGCTCAAGTTAGTGATATGACACCGGAAGTGGAATGGCCTTCTTTATTTGAAAAGCCAGAAGGAAAAAAGTGGTTTCGTTGTGTCTTTTGTCTGCTGCATCATTTGCCAGAGGTGATTTTCAGAGGCGTCCAAGAGAGGGATGGGAGCCTTCTTCATCTGTTTAAAGCTTAGGGTTTTCATGTACAGATTATGAGTCTGTGTGCTTTCTAATTTGTGTGATACAGACCTGTCCTTTTCTGACTTTAAAGAAAACCAAAAAATAAAACTGGAAGAAATGGAGGAGGGTGTCATAAGGCAGGAGCAACGTGAAGCATGTCAAATTTAATCATCGAATGGGATAAGTTTTCATGTATTTTTATGAAACATTGGATGAGGAGACCTAACACAACATCATGTGAAGAACGGTTGAAAGGCCCAGGGATATTTGCCTTGAGGGGATATGTTTGCTGCCTCAGATTTCTGATGGGCTGTCATGTGGAATCGGAATCTGCCAAGTCCTGGCACAGCCCCGGGGCAACAGATGGAAACCACAGGGAGATAGAGTTCAACCCCGTGTAAGTTAGAGTTGGACATGCCAAGTGGATTCTTGCAGGAGGTAGTAAGTTCCCTGTGATCAAAGATATCAAAGTACAGGTAGATATTGAGGCAGAAATGCTGAGGTGGGAATAAAGTTTCAGGTGAGTGATTCTGTTGACCAGTGCTCCCCAAACCTGGATGGTCATCAGAATCACCTGGGAAGCGTGTGCCTCTGTGTGTGTGTGTGTGTGTGTGTGTGTCTTTAAATATATTTGGCAGATCTCGAATGGGCTGTAGCAATATATCTTTCTAAGTATCTCTTTCAGATAGTTGTGACATAATCAGTTTGGGAAACACCGTCATTAGAAACTTTAAGTTATTTCCCAGCCCATAGTAAAATATGCCATAAATATTTGAAAACCATAGTTTTCATTTTGGGTTTTTTTTTTTTAAGTTTATTTTTTAAGTGATTTCTACACCCAACATGGGGCTTGAACTCACAACGCCGAGATCAAGAGTCATGTGCTCTACCGACTGAGCCAGCCAGGTGCTCCACATAGTTTTCATCTTGAATATTCTCGAAATCGTAATTGCCTGGTCAAGAAAACCAGAAGAAAAAGGCCATGTCCCTCTTCCCCAAACTGACTTCTCTGCCAAATCTTGTCGGTCCTTGTTGCTGGTTGCCTGGACGGTCTGTCTTCTGTAGCGGGGAGCTTTCCCCCCCGTGAGAAGTGAAGCTAGGACAACAGCAAGGCATGTCCTCCAGCTGATGACTGGCAGCTGGGACACTCCCGTAGGCATCTCCCCTGCCACCCTCCTGCTCTGGGCGCTTGACAGGGCATGGGGTACTTCCTTGCCTCAGGGACTAAGATTTCAGTCAAGGTTGTCATCTGAGAGTGTCGCTTGTGTGCTGGGCCCCACAGAGAATGGCAGTTAAACCTCTTCATTTTAAAGTAATGCCAACCCACGGAGGCCAGGTGTGGGCATGTGGGGACAGCTCCGTTGTGCCCGACCAGGAATTCATATCCTTCTCCCACAAGAATGCGAGCGCTATGAATGAACAACCTCCCTTTCTCTTGTCCTGTCCTACATCCCGAGTGCCTAGAACAGTGCCTGGCGCCTGATGGAACAGTATCTAGTTCACTAAAGAGATGCTGGGGTCCTTCTTTTCTTCCTAGGTCCATTCTAGGTGGCAAGGAGCCATGCAATTCTCCAGCTCATCCAGGGCAGCAGACGAGAATTTTGACTATTTGTTCAAGATTATCCTCATTGGGGATTCCAATGTGGGGAAGACGTGTGTGGTACAGCATTTCAAATCTGGGGTCTACACAGAGACACAGCAGAACACGATTGGGGTGGACTTCACTGTGCGCTCCCTTGAGATCGATGGCAAGAAAGTGAAGGTCAGAAAGGCACGGGGTTGGCTCCTCCCTTAGCTAGAGTTCTTTTTTTTTTTTTAAGATTTTATTTATTTATTTGAGAGAGAGCATGAGCAGGGGGGAGGGGTAGAGGGAGAAGCAGATTCCCTACTGAGCAAGGAGCCAACGTGGGGCTCCATCCCAGGACCCTGGGATCATGACCTGAGCCGAAGGCAAATGCCCACCTGACTGAGCCACCCAGGTGTCCCTTAGCTAGAGTTCTTTTTTTTTTTTTTAAGATTTTATTTATTTGACAGTGAGAGAGACAGTGAGAGAGGGAACACAAGCAGGGGGAGTGAGAGAGGGAGAAGCAGGCTTCCCGCTGAGCAGGGAGCCTGATGCGGGACTCGATCCCAGGACCCTGAGATCATGACCTGAGCCAAAGGCAGATGCTTAACTGACTGAGCCACCAAGGCACCCAGCAGCTTTTTTTTTTTTTTTTAAGATTTTATGTGTTTATTTGAAAGAGAGAGAGAGCACAAGCGCGGGGGAGGGGTATGAGGAAGCAGAGAGAGAGGGAGAGGGACAAGCAGACTCCCTGCTGAGCGCAGAGCCCAATGCAGAGCTGATCCCAGGACCCCAAGATCATGACCCAAGCCGAAATCAGACGCTTAACTGACTGAGCCACCCAGGCGCCCCGGGGGAATCAGCCTTTTAAGACAAGAACCCAGAAGCCATAAAGGAAAAGATTGCTCAATCATAACTACCTAAAGGCCAAGTTTATATATCTCTATATAACGATATAAAGGTCAAATTTCTACATACACAAAAATACCATAAACAAAGTCATAAGATGAATGACAAACTGGAAAGAAATATTTGCAAATATGGAACTGACAAAAGGCTAATTTCTTTAACGTGAAATGAGCCCCAATAAATATCTAAGAAAAAGACTAACGACCAAATACAAAAAGTAGGCAATCCACAGATTGGACACAATTGCTATTTCATAAATTCGATAAGAACTAGCTCAGAAACTCATGTCAAGATATAAAGGTGTCCATCCTCACTCATGATTTGAAAAGTGCAAATTTGAATCAAAAACTAGTGATGTAATGTGTGGTGATTAACGTAACATAATAAAATTAAAAAAATAAAAATAAAAGTGCAAATTCGAATAACAGTGAGAGACTTTTACCCATTTGGTTAGAAAAGATCAGAAAGTGTTGGTGAAAGTGTTGGTGAAAATGTAAAGCATGTAAAGCTTGGGATTTTTATTAAATAAAAACAACAGTAAAAAGACATTTTGGAGACAATCAAGAAAATTTTAACATATTAGATGATACCAAGGAGTTACTGGAAAGCTGATTAGCAGTGATTATGGCATTGTGCTTCTGTATGAAAATGTCTACTTTTGACACAAATGAAATGACATGACGTCTGGGATTCACCCAGGTCAGTACCACCTCAGGGGCGCCTAGGTAGCTCAGTGGTGGAGTGTCTGCCTTCGGCTCAGGTCATGATCTCAGGGTCCTGGGATCGAGCCCCGTATCGGGCTCCCTGCTCAGCGGGAAGCCTGCTTCTCCCTCTTCCACTCCCCCTGCTTGTGTTCCCTCTCTCGGTGTGTCTGTCAATAAGTAAATAAAATCTTTAATAAAAAATAAATAAAATAAAATAAAATAACACCTCAAAGAAATCAACAGAAGGGGCTAGATGAAGCAAGAGTGGTGAAATCTTTTTTTTTTTTAAAGATTTTATTTATTTATTTATTTGACAGAGAGAGACAGCGAGAGAGGGAACACAAGCAGGGGGAGTGGGAGAGGGAGAAGCAGGCTTCCCGCCAAGCAGGGAGCCCAATGCAGGGCTCGATCCCAGGACCCTGAGATCATGACCTGAGCCGAAGGCAGTCGCTCAACCGACTGAGCCACCCAGGCGCCCCAAGAGTGGTGAAATCTTGATAATTACTGAGTCTGGATATTGGCTATATGAGAGTTCCTTGCTTTATTCTCTCTAGTTTGGGGTATGTTTGCATCTTTCTTTAAAAAATACATTTTATAGGGGCACCTGGCTGGCTCAGTAGGTAGAGCGTGCGACTCTTGATCGCAGGGTCATGAGTACAAGCCCCACGTTGGGTGCCAAGTTTACTTAATGAAATAATTAATTAATTAATTAGTATATTTTATAAATAGTGTGAGAGAGTGAACAAACGGGTGCCCTCAGACACGGTGGGAGGGTGGACAAACGGGTGCCCTCAGACACGGTGGGAGGGTGGACAAACGGGTGCCCCGGCGCGGGATGGTCACTGAGAAGGGTATTATCATAAGGACACTCCTGAACAGACACAGCTGAGTGGTCCTTTAAAATCAGAATGGTTCAGCCAGTGTTATCGTCTTGAGTGGGATCAACGAGCAGGTTCCCAATGTTAACCCCAAAATCTAGACAAAGGGATGACGGAGGTAAAACAGTCAAGAACACTAGACCCAAGACATTGGGTCCACCTCTCCGACTAAAGTGTCCCTTAGGTGGTGGCTCCCAAACCTGAAGGCACATCCAAATCACCCTGAGGAGCAAAAGGAAACACGGATCCCTGGGCCCCTCTCCCGAACCTACTGAGTATCTCCAAGTGAGAGCCAGGAAACTGCCTTTTGCAGACAACGTAGGTGAGCAAGCTCCCATCAGGCGCAGGAACTCCTGATGCGGACCCCCCTTTCCTGCCCTCTTCCAGATGCAAGTGTGGGACACGGCGGGCCAGGAGCGGTTCCGGACCATCACTCAGAGCTACTACCGCAGTGCCCACGCCGCCATCATTGCCTACGACCTCACCCGACGGTCCACCTTCGAGTCTGTTCCTCACTGGATCCACGAGATAGAAAAATACGGAGCGGCGAACTTGGTCATTATGCTGATTGGTATGGCGTTTTCAAAGCATTTGGCTTTTCTTTCCTGGGCCCCTCTGCAGATGCACAGCTTTTTGTGTGTTTCTGATGGCAAGGGAACATGAAATCATAAAAGTGCAGGTGGTGGACAGGCCCTCACAAAGTGTTTGGCCCCCAAACTCGCATCAGATTCACTTGAGAATGTGGGTGGTGGGGTGTGAACTTGTTAATAATACGAATTCCAAGGCCCCACCCTGGAGTGTCTGGTCCCAGAGACCTGGGATGGGGCCCAGGCTATTCAATGAAGGCATCATACCCCAAATGATTTGATGCAAATGTGTGTAGACCACACAGGAAATCCCCTGGAGGCTGAGGTTCACAATATCAGACGGCTCCAAATCCCCAAGGGAGCCACTCACAGGCCTGGGACCGCACCCATGAATGACTCCTTTACACCTGCTAGGATCCTAAGCAAATCTTAATGACAAACCACCATCAAAATTAACAGCAACTTCAACTGCACAAAGGAAACAGCCGGCTTAACGTGAGTGGTCCTACTGTACATTCAGAAGGTGTACATTTCCATCCCTTCTCTGTAGTTTGAGTTTTGCAAACAGAGCTGCCTTTTTCTTCCTCCTATGAACATGACTATTAACCAAGTGGCTGCTTCATTTTGGCAAGATGGTTTAGGCCCTTGCTACTCAAAGTGTGGTCTGTGGGCCAACAATTACCAGCTGGAGTTTGTGAAAAGTGCAAGATCTTAGGCCACATCCCACACTTCCTGAATCAGAATCTTCATTTTAAGAGGATCCTAAGGAGATTGATAGGCAAATGGAAGTTTACACAGAACAAGTCTAGACAGCTAGCTGTGAGATTGAGAAAGAGCTAAACACACACCGTGTTTAATGGCTGATTCATCCTCTGACAAGCATGTCCTAGCTCTGTGGCCAGTCACCCTCTGAGCCTGAGTTCCTGATCTGTAAGATGTGATTAATACTTAATGGGTTGTGGTAAAACTTTGATGAGATACTGTATATAAATTGCTTAGCAGTGCCTGGCACCAAGTAAGTGTTTAATAGACCGTAGGATGTGTTCTAGAAAGTTTGTTTGAGGAACTGTCTCATCTATGTTCCAAATAATTCAGGGCTTAGAGGGGAGGGTGCAAGTTCCTAGGATCTAGGAAAAGCCAGCAATCAAGCCCCAGCCAGAGCAGGAGACACAGTGGAGCCAGCCTGCTTCTCCCCCTCCCGAAACCCCCTACCCCTCCAAACCCCCCCGCCCCCGCCACCACCAACAGGCAGGACCTGTGCATCCTCCTTTCAGGGCTGGGCTCTGGGAACCAGCCCCCTTGTACTGTATTGTGCACCTGCTCCCTCTCTCTCAGAGCTGCTTCCCACGCCTTACTCATGGAATCCCTCAAAACATCATCCCCGACCTGCTCCCGCCACAGACCTCATTCTCTCAGTATCTGCTTGCTCACAAGGCAATCCCCGTTCCTTCTTTTCATGGCAAAGCATGATCCAGGCTGCTGGCCAACCCAAGGACGGGCGGGTGCGGGGCAAGGTGCCTACCTGAGACCAAGAGCTGGGCCCCGATGGTGAAGGCGGTCACAGGATGCAAAGCCTGGCCACGGGCGGGCCCTAGAAGAGGTCATTGGCACATGTTCTGAGCACATCTAGCCCATTCATTATTACTGCCATGATTCCAGAAAGGGTGTTTTGATTCATAGTTCGGCTCCTGTCATATGCACAGACGTGAAGGGAGCTCATGCCGTTCCTCTAACTTGAGAAACAAAGTCATTCCAAGAGCCTAGAGTGCGCTCCCTCCTTCCTGCTACCTCAGATCCAAAGCCCCAGATTCCACAGTCTGCTGCCAAGGTAGATGCCCCTCACCTTCTGTTCCCTCGTTTTCTCTGAGGAGCTTGTCCCACATGGCAGAAAGCAGCGGGGAGAGATTAGTGAGGCTTCCCCACGGAGGGCACCTCGTCTCTCTGGGAGGAGCGAGATGCCTCTCTCCTGTAGCTGCTCACCCAAAAGTCCCCCTTTGGGACCAGAAACTTCTGTAATTTGACTTCTGGTATAAAGGACACTTCTACAAGCAGAGTTCAGAGCTCGACGAATAAGCACTGACCCCAAAAGAGCCATATTTCTTCCCCAATAACCACTTCTGGGAACAACGAAGGAGGATGCTCACGAGGTGTCCTGCATCCTTCAGGATAGCAGGGCCCCACCCTTGGGGTGTGAGGACCGGGGGCTGTGCTAGAGAGATGCTGGTGACAGGCGACACTAAATGCTTAGCTGATCCAGGTACAATTCTGAGCCCTCTGAGTCACTGCATTTAACTGGACTTTGGAGTCATACAGATTGGGGTTCAGAGCTCCTTCTCTGCCTTCCCCTCTGAACTTGGGCTCGTTGCTCTCTCTAAATTTCTATTTCCTCACCTATGAAACGGATACCTGCTTCAGGTGTGCTGTTGAGTTGAATGGATATATCTGAAGCACTTAGCGTGGTGCTAAGCCCTCAGTAAGGGGAAGCCATTATTTCCTGGTGGAGCAAAGATGAGGCTCTGCTGTGCTAGATCGAGGGGCTCAGAGGCCCCCCTGGGTGGAGAGCGGAGCGGACGGGGAGGGACATCCATGACCTCAGGGGCAGAAGGAAACCCCACCAGGGGGAGCTCCCAGAGAAGGGACAACAAGGGTGGAAAATGTGCATCTCACTAAGGGGAATGAAGACGTTCTGATCACACTTGAAGTTTTCCCAGAGAGGTGGACTGAATCTCTTTTCTATTAAATTCCTGTGCTCCCAACAATGACGTAGTTGTTCCTCGGGCCCTGGGAGCCTGCAAGGCAAAGCTGCATGCCCCCAGGACCCCTTCCCTTCTGAGCTATCTTTGAAAGACAAAGCCCTTTCTCCAATGTCCTGGGCCTCCCTCCCTGGCTCTCCCCTCAGCACTCTCCTTAACTGCCGTTTCCTCTGCAGCAGACACAGATGGGGCAGAGGAGGGGGTAACAAATGCTAAGATGGGGGCGCCTGGGTGGCTCAGTCGGTTAAGCATCTGCCTTCAGTTCAGGTCATGATCCCGGGGTCCTGGGATGGAGCCCCACATCAGGCTCCCTGCTCAGTAGAGAGCCTGCTTCTCCCTCTGTCTCTGCCTCTCCCCCTGCTTGTGCTCTCTCGCTCTCTCCCTCTCGATCGCTTGATCGCAAATAAAATAAATAAAATCTTTTAAAGAATGCTAAAATGTTGCAGGATTCCCAGGAATCTCACGGCTGTTGTGGTATCTATACCCTAGTCTGTCATTCCTCACAACCATCTCTGCCTCACTTTACGATTGGTTCTAGAAATGCCCCCAAAGATGATCAGGATGTGTCAGTTTAGGACGCAGACTTTCACACAAATGTCAGAGAGCTGATTGTGCACCGATTTGTACTGCTCCTTCTCTCCGGCCATTTACCAGAAGACCAGCCCCTTGGTAGTGTCCCTGTGTTTAAAATCCTTGGTGGACCCCCATTGCCCTCAAGATAGCATACAAATTCCTGAGCACAGCCTACAAGCACCCCGCTTTCCTCCTCGAGAAGGCTGGCTCTTATCTTTTCCTCATCCCGTCTGCTCTTTGTGGCCTCCCAGCTCTTAGTACCCCCATCAGAGGGAGGGGTCAGGAGCCAACTTCCTTTATAGGTTATATAGGATGTTCTCCTGACTTTCCCTCGGCACCTGCTCTCTGTCCCCTTAGGATTTCAGGCAAACCTTCCACTTCAACTGCTGCTATATTTCCAAGTCCACGTTCTCTCAGCAAAAACTCTTCGTGCCTAAGAGTTCAGCCTTCAGAATCTGTCAGATCTTAGAATGCCTTCTATGTTACGTAACACCCTCAGTAGGTCTCGGCCAACACCCCGAGGTCAAATGCCTTCTTAGGCAGTGCAGTGAAATGTGTGCCATAGTCCTACAAACCAGGTTGAATAAAAACCTCAAATGCCAGTTTAGGGCAGATGTTACCGTCAGAGGAATTGCCAAATACCCTTAGGGGTTTCCGAGGTTTTTGGGTTTGGGAAATGTGGACAAGGGATTACACACCTGTACTACTAACAACTGTTACCATTCACCTGGTCCTTGGCCTATATTATTTCGTGGCCTGTCTCAGATCAGAAAATTCCTATACAGTTGTTGAATTGCCTGTGTGTCTGTCTTGTCTCCCTAACAAGATGAGGCACTCCTTCCTTCGGGGCAGGAACATCTCTGGGTGCCCAACACACAGCCCTTACTTAGCAAGCAAGGATTTGAATTGCGAGGGGCAAACACACGGTTTCTTTCCCTTCCACCAGGTGTCCCGGCTCATCGTGAGGTGTGTGGAGGGTCTGGGCACTGGGCAGACAGTGCTGCTGACCTGCCATAGCAATGGGGCAGGTTGGCGGAGCAGGTCATAAAAGGCAGAACCAGTGCCACTGAGCTCAGCACCTACAGCTCAAAGTGAGGGATGCAAGGAGCAGACCCGACTCCCAGCTCAGCAACTCCCACTCCTACAGCATCCCTCCCCGCCGCCCCCCTAGAGGCTCTCACCCCTGCCTTCCAGTAGAGCAGTGCCCTGAGCTTCAGCCTCCAGGGCTATAAATATGCATGCAGCTGTCTTGAAGAGATGTGCCTGAGTTCGTTTCCAGAGGCTGCTGTGACAAATTACCACACACCGAGCAGCTTAAAATCGTGGGAAGGTGTTCTCTCTCAATTCTGGAGGCCAGAAATCTGAACTCAGTATCACTGGGCCAAAATCAAGGCATCCGCAGGGCCACACAGCTCCCGGGGCTCCAGGGGAGCATCTGTTCTTTGCCTCTTTCCATTTCTGGTGGCTGCCAGCATTCTGTGCTGTGGCCGCAACATCTAGTGTGTACATCCCTCTTCATCTTCCTCCTGTGTGTGTGACGTGTCCCCCCCCCACAGCCCAGTCATCAGGGTACATGTGGCTGTATTGGGGCCCATCCAGCTAATCCAGGATCCTCTCCCCATCTCGAGATTCTTAATAACATCTGCAAAGACCCATCTTCCAAATAAGGTGGCATTCAGTTTCCAGGGATTAGAACCCCGTATCTTTGGGAGTCAGTTTTCAGCGCAGCCCAGTAGGTAGGTGGTGTCTCAGACTGAACACAGTTGTAAGAAAGGTTCCTTCAGCCCTGAGCCAACATTGCCTGGGGGATGGAGTCCTGCAGCCTGCAGCGTGGGTCTGCATTAGCAAGCCCTACTTTAGCCTACTTAAAAAATATATATATATATACATATATATATTTTTTTTAGGTAATCTCTACACCCAACGTGCAGCTCAAATTTACGATCCTGAGATCAAGAGTCCCATGCTCTACCAACTGAGCCAGCCAGGCGCCCCTGAATAGACATTTTTTTAAAAAGATTATGTTTATTTGTTTGAGAGAGAGAGAGAGAGAGAGAGAGCATGAGTGGGGGGGAGGAGCAGAGGGACAAGCAGACTCCACGCCAAGCATGGAGCCTGACATGGGGCCTAATCCCACACCCCGAGACCATGGCCCGAGTTGAAATCAAGAGTTGGCCGCTGGGGTGCCTGGCTGGCTCTGTCGGTTAAGTGGCTGCCTTCGGCTCAGGTCATGATCCCAGGGTCCTGGGATCGAGCCCCACATCGGGCTCCCTGCTCCGCAGGAAGCCTGATTCTCCCTCTCCCACTCCCCCTGCTTGTGTTCCCTCTCTCCCTGTCTTTCTCTCTGTCAAATAAAATCTTAAAAAAAAGAATTGGCTGCTTAACCAACTGAGCCACCCAGACACCCCCTAAATAGATATTTTTTAAAATTTCAATATATGTCAATCCATCAATCTTTCCTCAGTGATACGGTGCACTCCTTTGCATGCACACACATGCAAAGAAGTGCACCGTATCACTGGGGAAATCTGAATAAGCTCTATGGGATGTACCAATGGTAATTTCCTGGTTTTGACGTCAGACTATCATTCCCCAAGAGGTTACCAGTGGGGAAACTGCATGAACGGTACGCTAGACCTCCCTGAAAGACCTCCTTCAACAACCTGGGAGTCTATAATTGTTTCAAAATGAAAAGTTTTAAAGGTTTTCATGGTGGGGAGGGTTAATTATGGGGGAAAAGGGTCTCAGAAGGCTCCTTTATGAGAAAAAACAAGTTGAGAAACACTGGTCTGGCCCGTCTTAATTACAGTAGCTTTGTAATAAATCCTGATGTCTGGTAGAACAAATCCTGCAGGAAAACAATTTTACCTTTAAAAGCAAAAGAGATGGGTCACTCTTCCTTCTATAACCAGTCCTGGGGGCTATGCTCACAAAACCCTTCACTGAACTTTCTGGGGTAATAGGGAATGTTCTATATCCTGAGGGGAATGATGGTTACAGAGCATATACGTTTGTCAGAATTCATGAACTGCACACTTAAAATCTGCCTATTATATTTAAGTTGTAGCTAAATCCTGCATTATTCATTTCATACCTTCAATCCAGCAAATCCTCATCACACGCTCCTCAGCTAGCCCAGGCCCCATCCCACGGTATCCAACCCTTTGTGGTTTGGAAAAGAGAGCAGAGAGAGAAACAAGATTTGAAGGAATAACAGAGAAGCCCGAAACACCCCCTCCGGCACAGTCTTTACCTAGTTGGACTTAGAAGGAAGGAATGACTGTCCCTCCGTAGAATGTAGAGGCTCCACCTGTCCCTGCCAATAAAACACACACCTCCAGCCCATTTCTCACAGCTCCTCAGGATCTCATTTGACAGTGAATTAAGACAGTGGCTCTTTTTCCATCAGTGGTTTCATTTTCAATAAATCTGCCCACAATGGCTGTTTGGGAATGAATCACGCTTGAATACTGTTGAACTAAAATGTTTCTATTAAAGGTTTATTAAAAAACAAACAAACAAACAAAAGACCAGATTCAGTTTGTCCATGGAATATTTGCTTCTTTCTCGCTCCCAGGGAACAAATGTGACCTGTGGGAAAAACGGAATGTCCTGTTTGAGGATGCCTGCACACTGGCTGAGAAGTACGGCCTCCTTGCTGTTTTAGAAACGTCTGCCAAGGAGTCTAAGAACATAGACGAGGTCTTCATGCTGATGGCCAGGGAGCTGATCACCCGCAACAGCCTGCACTTATTTGGGGAGAGCACCCTGAACAGCCTGGCCCCGGATTCTAGGCCAGTCCTTGTGGCCCAGGGTCCGAAGGAGAAGACCCACTGCATGTGCTGAAGACGTTCACGAGGCCAGTTGCAGCCACCGGATGCTGCGTCTGATGCTGAAGGTAGCGGGATACTCTGTTGTCTGCCACGTAGCATCTCAGACCGAAGGACAGACTTGCCGCTGGTCCTTAACCCTTCCCTCCAGGATGGGGAGCACTTTGCCTGGATTCACACCAGAGGCCAGACCTGCTGACCCTGAGTAAAGCCACACCACTGTTTCTCTTGGTTCCGCTTCAGACTTGAGGCACAGGGGCAGGAGGACAACGTTTGCTCTTCTTTACCCCTCCATTTGGTCTCCCCAACCCTTCCAACCAGCTTCTACTGAATTTTGCTTCTCGCTTGAAGAAGAGGGTAGTGAAAAAAGAATAAAGGAGGGATAGCAAGAGGGGAGAGGATTGTGCACCTCTGGAATGTTTAGAACATTCCAGAGCTGTTTAAAACAGCTCAGGTGCAGGGGGGTGGGGGGCAGCTGCAGAAAGAAAAAAAGCCTGCAGTGATAAACCAGAACGCTGTTAACTTTTGCTTCCTGACGTTCACACCTCAGGTCTTTAGTTTGGGGAGCAAACCCTTCGACATCAAGACCATAAAGACTGTCTTGCCAAATGGTCAAGAGCCATGTGATGGAGACAGAATTGGATCTCACTCTATCCTAGTGGGGCTGATGTGACCACCTTCCTAGAATGTGGGAGATGCTGACAATTTCCTTCTAAAATACCAGATTATCTGCTGGATAAAAACTCGCTTCTGAATTGAAATTCAGTTGGCTCATAGATGAATGTCAAGCCAATACTGACCTTGCTGTGTGGCCCCCATGTGTGCCGTGTACCTTCCAGAACCTGTGGATAATAAACATTGTTTTTTTCAAAGTTCCCTGATGGTTGTTGCTGGGGCACATCTTGTAATCATAATAAGAACCACAAGGGCTGAGGGGCGCCTGGGTGGCTCAGTCGTTAAGCGTCTGCCTTCAGCTCAGGTCATGATCCCAGGGTCCTGGGATCGAGCCCCGCATCGGGCTCCCTGCTCAGCGGGGGGCCTGCTTCTCCCTCTCCCACTCCCCCTGCTTGTGTTCCCTCTCTCGCTATGTCTTTCTCTGTGAAATAAAAAAAAAAAAAAGAACCACAAGGGCTGGTCCAGCCGCAACAATGGCTCTGAACCAGGAAAGGTCTGTGGGGACTCACCTCAGCACTACCCATAGGCTGAGACCAGCACAAAACAGATAGCCACTAACTACGTGTAGCTTGAGTACTTGAAATGTGGCTAATTCGAATTTGAGATGAGCTCTAAGTGCAAAATACACACCAGATTTTGAACACTTAGTACAAAAAAAAAGAGTATAAAGAATCTTACAATAATTTTATATTGATTATATTTTGAAATGATATTTTAGATACACTAGGTTAAATAAACATTTTATTAATGTTTCACCTGGTTTTTTACTTTTTTAAATGTGGCTACTAGAAAAATTTAAATTACATATGTGGTTCACGCCATACATCTATCAGACAGTACAATAAAGCAATGCCCCTCAAAGTGTAGTTCACCAACCAGACGTGTGAGAGCAGCCAGGGGATGTTACCGAGCCTTGAGCCCTGTGACTGACGGAATCAGAATCTTCCCAGAAATCCACATTCACCCAAGCTTGCCGGGTGATTCTTCCCCACACTGAAACTTTCAAATGTGTACTGTATAGAGGTTGGAGGGGTTAGGAGGAAGATCATAGAGAAGTAATCACATTTTAATTCATTTCACAATATATTGGTTGGACCTACCTTTAGGAAGCAAGAGGGAAATCTAGTCCCATGCCAGAGAGAATACATGCATCAGAGCGGATCGACCTCTTTCATCTTCATGTTATTGTTCTGAAGGAAGGGTTAGGCACGGCAGAATCTCACAGGCAGATCAGGAATATATCCATACTAAAGCCACTGCATGATTTTCCGAGGAGGCAAGAAGCAGACAGTTGTTAGACAGGGTAAGGAAAATTGAGTAGGTCAGGGGAGAGAGTGAGCAAAGAAGAGAAAGGCTGAGCAAGACATGAGAATAACGTCTCACACAAATCTTTCTTCATTTCTGTGCACATCAACCTCAATACTCTGAAGAGCTCATCAGCTTCTCAGGTTATGCACTCCAGGGATCAGATGGAATTAAAATATTCGTACCAGCAGGGTACACATGTAAGAACAAGGCCACCTGAAATTAACCAGCCTGGGCTTCTGCCGAAATTATAGTCCTTCAACAGAAACCCGCAAGTCCCCTTGAAAGGGTATCCAGCATGGAGTGGCGGCGTCACTGACTGTGGGGGCCCAATTCCCGGGGCTCAGGGCAGTCTTATAACCCACGCTGTGAAGCCAGCTCGGCAGGCTCCCCTTGAGAGCCATGCTCCGACAAGGAATCCTGCGTACTATCTTCTGAAGTGGGTACTATTTATAACTCCTATTTTAAAATGACGATATAAAACACTGAGGGATTAAGATCACACAGTTAATAAGTGGCAAAGCCAGGATTCAAACCCAAACAATCTGGTTCCAGAGCCACTCTTGGCAATGAGGCTCTACTCCCCCACCAGATGACCAGTATCGGATTTGGGTTCCGTCCTATTAACCCCTCATCATCATCAACACACACCACACACACACACACACACAAACACAGAAAGAGAAATATACTCATCCTAAGATATACTCTCAAACATACATTTCAATATCCTTCAAAGTCAAGCAGCTCCCTCTAAAAGAAGCCTGGGGGGCGGGGGCGGGAAGAAGCAGTGTGGGAGGGGCCGGGGTGGAGGAAGGTAGCCCGTTGGGTGGATTAGGCTTGTCCTATCTAACCACAGGGGAATTATGGAGGAGCTGTGGCTGGCCCAGGCCCAGCCCGAGTCCACCTCCTCTTGAACAGGGATGATGTGGAAACTCCACTTTGCTCATATGCAAGGTTATCTGGGTGACCCAAGGCCAACTAGGCTGAGTTCTACCCCAGCACAAGGGTTAAATGGGGAGGATGGAGAAGCAAGCATACATCAATGCTCCCTGCAGGTTGCCTACAAACCTCCAGATAATGCAGAAGAGATTCTGGGGATTCACATCATCAAAGGCAATTAATAGTGCTTGCTTCAACTTTTCATTTTCAAAAAATATCAATATTGGGCGCCTGGGTGGCTCAGATGGTTAAGCATCTGCCTTCGGCTCAGGTCATGATCCCAGGGGATCGAGTCCCGCATCGGGCTCCCTGCTCCTTGGGAGCCTGCTTCTCCCTCTGCCTCTCTGTCTCTCATGAATAAATAAATAAAATCTTAAAAAAAAAAAATCAGTATCTGCTCAAGAGCCTGTGATCAAGCATTGAGCAAAAATGTACAAGTGCTTGCAAGATTCACTTAGTTGGTTTACCATTCATCGGAATCCTGATTGCTGCTAAGGTGGTTTTGATATCAGTTTCTTTTGCGTTTACTCTTACACACACATTGTTTCATCTATACCCAAAAACAATCAGAGGTAAACTACATGTTGAGCACAGAGTAGGTGATAATTCTGCGAAATCATCGAAAGATCGCTCTTCATCTGACACCTTATTTACTTATTACTTAATTTTACTTATTCATTTTTTAAGATTTTTCTTTTTTTAAGACTGTATTTTTATTCATTCATTCATTCATTTTTTTTAAGTAGGTTCCGCACCCAGTGAGGAGCCCAATGCAGGGCTCAAACACATGACTCCAAGATCAAAAGTCACACACTCCACCAACTGAGCCAGACAGGTGCCCCCAAATTTACTTACTCTTATATAGTATATCAGGATGTCTCTAGAACTTGACAGGTCAATGTTTAAAAACAAAAACAAAAAACGATCAAAAGGGACCACAGAGTGATGATTATATTCAACTAGTGTTTTCATTTACTGGGAATAAAAATTATCCACACATTTTTAGAAATGCTTGCAAATAGCCACCTGAAACCTTATCTAATTTAGAAACAAAATTCCAATTACAAAAAAAAATTTATAATATCAGTAAAACACGAAACCATTTATTCTCTTTTCATTTTTTAAAAGATTTTATTTACTTGAGAGAGGAGGGAAGTGGGGAGGGAGAGAGAGAGTTTAAGAGCAGGGAGGGGGGTGGGTGTAGGCAGAGGGAGAGGGAGAAGTAGACTCCCTGCTGAGCAGGGAGCCCCAGGACCCTGGGATCATGACCTGAGCTGAAGGCAGACACTTACCGGGATGAGCCACCCAGGTGCCCCTGTTTTGTTTTATTTTATTTAAAGTTTTTTAAATTTTTTTTTCCTAAAGTAATCTTCACATTCAACATGGCGCTCCATCTCACAACCCTGAGATCCGGAGTCACATGCTATGCCGACTGAACCAGCCAAGTGTTCAAAAAACTTTTATTTTATTTTATTTTTTTTAAAAAGATTTTATTTATTTATTTTGAGCGAGAGAATGAGAGAGAGAGAGAGCACATGAGAGAGGGAGGGTCAGAGGGAGAAGCAGACTCCCCACTGCGCAGGGAGCCCGATGCGGGACTCGATCCTGGGACTCCAGGATCATGACCTGAGCCAAAGGCAGCCGCCTAACCAACTGAGCCACCCAGGCGTCCCCCCAAAAATTGTATTTTAAATAAATTTTAATACAAACTTTAAAGGACACCTTGGTGGCTCAGTCAGTTGGGCATCTGTCAGCTCAGGTCATGATCCCAGGGTCCTGGGATGGAGCCGAAGTTGGGGTCCCCGCTCAGTGGGGAATCCACTTCCCCCTCCCCCTGCTCATGCTTTTTCTCAAATAAAATCTTAAAAAAAACACAACTTTAATAATTTGTCAGCCAGAAGAATTTTTCACTTATACCATGTAGAAACATTAAAACTATTTTTTAAATCCCTAAGGGAGTTACTAAGATTACATATTACTCGGAAACAACCGAGAAAGGAATCTGTCATTTGGGGGGAAAAGAAAAAGTTTAAGTACACTAGCTTTAGAAAAGCTGATTATTTTTTCAATGTAGCTTTTTTTTTTTTGGTATGCTGCATACTGAAGAAAAATTTTAAATTACAGAAAATCTTAGTTATCACAAGCACCTGGGATCCCA